GAATGGCTGTCACTCTCTCTGGCACACTGGATCCCCTATGCAGGCACTAGATACCGTGTATGCAAACACACATTGCCTAAGCACAAATTCTCTACAGCCATTAAACATATTACATCACCAATACGCACAGGCACTGCAGCCCACAAAACACAATACCACCGTTAGCTTACTCTACAAACACGAAATCCCACAAGCAGCCTCCAAACATATACACAATATGCTTTCTTGTCCCTTTTGTTCTTTGGTATCCAACTTATAGAGACACCAAAGACAAGTCAAAAGCAAACAGCACAATCATGTCATTAAATTTGCTTGCGCTGCACAGAACAAGTAGAGGGCCATTTTCTCACGCAAGAGTTCTTCAACAAGGCTTTGCGCATGTATGGCACAGACATAGTGGGTAGAAAAGGCCAAAGCCATTTTATTTATTTATTTAATTTGCAATATTCGGTCATTGTCCCCTTAACATTACATATACATTGAACCTTTAACAAACTAGGCAATGACAAACATAGAGTTAACATAACCATAACTAACTTGCATACCATAATTAACAAAACAATACAACCTTTTCCGGCACCCAGCTTGTTCCCAGGGATCCCACGTGTTGGAACAGTTTCAACTGCTGGGACAAAACCGCCTTCCCAGCTCCCAATTGGGCTGCGAACTCTTCTGGCTCACAACCTCTCACCAAGCCCCCATTACACTATCACCAAATCCTTATTGTGAGGCCATCGACCATCACCAGGAGAAAGCTACCACCAAGGGTGCGACAATTATTTCTTCCAGAATTGCCATCTTTGTGACCAGCTGACTCTGAAAAAGAAAGAAATAAACCCGTCAGAACTTGAAAGTAGTGTCCCAACACCATTAAATAACAAACTAATGAGGGAGGGCGAGCAAAAGAGATAGATGGACAGATTTACCCATAAAAAGGCTGCCGTACAACAGTCCCCTTCATTCTCCTAACGCCCCACCAATCCCTACCGCCTTGCTCAGTACAAACTGTCAAGGCCCTCCTCCGCCTATGCATCTCCATGGGGCTGCATGACAGTTGTAGCCTCGGCTACCTGGCTGTATCTACCATAAATCAAACCACATGGCACAGACATAGTGGGTAGAAAAGCCAGTCATTTATTTATTTAATAAGCACAATTTGGCCATTGCCCCCATAGCATTGCATATACATTGAACCTTTAATAACATACTACTGTTATACACTCTGATTGGTTGAATTTGTTTTACATTACTGTTAACCATTTCTTTGCTGCTGGGAGGTTCAGTAAAGAAAGATAAGCAAATATGAAGCCTCCTGTCTTGCCATAAAATTAACATAACAAGTTAACCTTTTCCAGCACCCAGCTTGCTCCCAGGGATCCCCCGTGTTGGAACCGCTCCAACTGCTGGGACAGAACCGCCTGTCCCAGCCCCCAATTAGGATGCAATATTCTGGCTCACAACCTCTCACCAAGCCGCCATTAGGCTATCACCAAATCCTCATTGTTAGGCCATTGACCATCCCCAGGAGCAAGCTACCACCACTGCCCTAGCGGATGACCCCTTACTCTGCTCAGCCTCCCCCAACCTTCAAAAACAAGGCCTTTTCCGAGACCCAACAAGTGTACCCCATCTGCAGCACTGAGGCCAACCGAGACCCAACAAGTGTACCCCATCTGCAGCACTGAGGCCGGTCCTGACGCCCTTAAGTGTGTGATTCCGTACCACTATCCCCTTCATTTTCCTATAAAAATGGCCATCAGCTTATTCACCTTTCCCCTGCTGCGCTCCATCGCCTGGACATCCCGCGCAAAGCTCCTTTTTTCCCTAGGCACCATCTCGGACCAAACCACTGTGACCCCAGTGACCAGTTCCACAATAATCAGCACGTACTTCTGCATTGCCTGTATCAACTCCCTCTGTGGAACCAGCCCCATATCATTCCCGCCGGCATGGATCACTAAAATGTTGGTTGGGCTGCCCAGGCGAATGGACTGCAGCACCAACGGCAAAACAGATCGCATACCCCTAATCTCGAACCACGTCACCTGTAACAGCTCTGCAGGAAAGCCCAGCTGCAAGCCCTGAGGTCTAACTGTGGCTCTCCTCCCGGACCACTACATGAAGGAGTGGCCGATGATCCCAGCCATGTACCACGCACCTAAAAGGACAGGAAAGGGGAAAACCTACAAAACATCCACACCAAACAATGTGGCCGTATATATGTCCAGAATCTATTGGATTCCCAGTGCCCTCTGTGTTGCTGCACTCTGTCCCCCAGACCCAGCTGCGCCGCCTCAGTTCCAACCCCAATATGGAAGAAGTGCGTACTGAAATCTGCGGGCACTCCTTCATTGGGCCAAACCTTTTCAGCACACCTGCAAGAACTGGAACCTGATGAGAGACGAACCATCCTCGTGGACCAGCAGGGACTCCCCCCTACCTAGCACCCCACCATATATCCATAGAGACACCCAAGACAGTGTTGCCTGAAAGCGTAAAGCACGATGCGCACCCCTCTTCCCAACATGTCCGTCTTGGAAGATCGTAACAAAATAGTGAGCCGGCCCGCCTTACAGATGACGTCCCTCAGCTGCAAACCCCCGATTTGCGCTGACTAACTCTGAAACCCGAAACGCCCCAAAAAAGGCCAAGGAAAATGCTGAAGCCCCCCCTCACAGGATGCTTGCAACAATCGGTCCCGAGCCACCACACAATCTCCGGGCAGGGGTACCCTTCCGCATCCACCTCCGGTGCCGCCACCCGAAACCACTCCCACTGTGGGCGAGAGAATCCACTATCTGGAACATGTCGCAACCGAAACGAGATGTTAAGCTCCATACACAATAAGATGAAATAATGCAGCAGCCGCACCATCGGCGATGCGGTGGAAAGGTTGTTGACCGAGTGCACAACTGCCCGGTTTTCCAAAAAGATGAGCACACTGAGATTCTTCATGTCCCAACCCCACAATGAGGGAGCAACCACTAAGGGAAACAGTTCCAGGAAAGCCAAGTTTCGGATAAGCTTGGAAGCTGCCAATACAAAAAAGAAGGTGTAGCGCTACGTACATACAATAGGACTGAACCTAGCCTGTGAAAAAAGTCCCGATGAAAATAGTCCGAATACCATATAAAGTATACCTAAAACAGTGGAGAAAGAAAAGTCTCCGATAGTGTAATACTGTAAAGCTTAATAGTAATAAGTACCAAAAGCAATATTGCACTCACATTCTCCTGAGCTTAATGCCAAGCTCAGGGATAAGCGTATGTAGGTCCGTATAGGCGACCTTCCCCTTCTTCAAGCCAGGTAGTCTTGGCTAATCGCCTCTAGGACTCAAATAAAACAAATATATGGTATAGTATGTATGCCCAAAGTTCTAATACTTCTGGTGCATAAATATACTCACAAATGTGGAGCCTCTGTATCAGCTCTGTCTCTGCACGTTGTATCAAAATAAAACTCTTGTAAGCAGGAACCAACAAGCCCACAATAATAATACAAAATAATGATTTTATTACAAAAAGGGGTATATTAGACCCTTAGTAGTATAAAAGACAAAATAGTATGCAATATTAAAAAAATATAAATAAAAGAATAATAAATGGGCATTAGAGGTATCATACACTCCTTCCCAGAACGCGTTTCACCGTAACTCCGACGGCTTCCTCAGCTGGGTCCAATGTGTCTTCCCAATATGTTGGGGTCCTGCTCTTATGCTGTTAATTCAAAAAAGGCGCGCATATCCTCTGCCCGCCCGATCGGCACTTGCGTTCCACACCTCGTTCCCCTCTTCGGATCACTTCCGCATATGACATCATCTCTATCATGATCATGTGAACTAGTGCCGGGCGTCATATGCAAATACCGTGTTCATTATATCATCAGTCCAGAATCAAATAGTACAGAAAAACAAAAATAATAGATAAACACTACTATGAAGAGAGCAAAAAAGAAAAAATGAATATACTTAATAAATACAGTCAGCAATAATTCTACAGTGTATAGTGAAGCCATCCCGTGGGGAATATTCCCTTACTATAATTCGACACTTCCTCCAGAGGAAACAGTTTCAGTTAAACGCAACAATTATAGTTACATTCCCTCTACATTGCATGTATCATTCATCTGGAGGATTACAAAAGTTAAAAAGTAAAAAGTAACTTATTCCATCAAATAGCACAATTCATTATATAAAATATGTATGTTACTCAACACAATTTATCCCTTTCATAGGGTATCTCTAAAAATCCTATAATCTACACTGTGATATAGTACTAAATATTATCCAGAATTAAAATCTCTTCTTATTCCATTTTGGAAATTTATATGAAGGATGGAGGAAGAAAAAATAAAATATCTCATAATAATAAAATCATGATAAAATACAAAACCATACTAATAAAAAATAAACTATTATTCTAGAAAGTGGCAGATTTCGAAATCCGTATTAAGACCGTAGGGAGTGAGAGTATTAAGCTCAAAAATCATTCTCATTTCCTCCCTACTAAGTTTTTGATTAAAATTACCTCCTCTCCAATCTTTTGAAACTTTTTTAATACCTAAAAATAAAGAGCCTAAAGGAGAATGGTTATAAAATTGTTTATAATGTGCAGGTACACTGTGGTTATCTGCTCCTTTCATAATGTTTCTACTATGTTCCTCGATCCGAATATGTAGGGCCCGAGTAGTTTTCCCCACATAATTCAGACCGCAGGGACACTGAAGAACATAAATAACATTTTTCGTATAACATGTTATCATTTCCCTTATCTTGTAGTCTTCCTTACTTTTAAAGTGTGTTAAACTTCTTTTTTTTATTCCCTGTCCTCTTAGAGGCCAAACAGTAACCACATCCGTAAAACCCTTTCCCTTCATTTAAAAAAGTATCGTTCATTTTCCGATCTCTAATATAACTAGAAGTTAAAGTATTATGGAGATTTCCCACTCCTCTATGAATAAAACGTGGCTTTTCCAATAAAATAGCTGCCAACCCTCGGGCCACTGCGCTGTGCACCATTTCCCCTGAAAATACGCTCCGAACCCCACGCTGCTCGAGGCATTGGTATACAGTTGCAAGAAAAAGCATGTGAACCCTTTGGAATGATATGGATTTCTGCACAAATTGGTCTGCACAGAATGGCTTAAACAGAAGAAAATACGCCTTCTGAAGTGGCCCAGTCAGAGTCCTGACCTCAACCCGATTGAGATGCTGTGGCATGACCTCAAGAAAGCGATTCACACTAGACATCCCAAGAATATTGCTGAACTGAAACAATTCTTTAAAGAGGAATGGTCAAGAATTACTCCTGACCGTTGTGCACATCTGATCTGCAACTACAGGAAACGTTTGGTTGAAGTTATTGCTGCCAAAGGAGGTTCAACCAGTTATTAAATCCAAGGGTTCACATATTTTTCCACCTGCACTGTGAATGTTTACATGGTGTGTTCAATAAAAACATGGCAACATTTCATTCTTTGTGTGTTATTAGTTTAAGCAGACTGTGATTGTCTATTGTTGTGACTTAGATGATGATCAGATCACATTTCATGACCAATTTGTGCAGAAATCCATATCATTCCAAAGGGTTCACATACTTTTTCTTGCAACTGTATAGCTCCAACCCAGCAGCCGGGACCACCGACTGCTGAAAACCCAGCAGCCGGGACCACCGCCTGCCATTAAACTTACTCAGGAAAACATCCCACACAAGCAAATCCGCTCTACCCTCAGGAAGTGATGCCCTTCCCGAATGCTTGACGTAGCCCTAAAGAGGGACCGCAAGAAGACCCTACCCGCCGGGAAAATCCAGCAGGCAAACTTAAGTCTCCCGATCAGAAACTGCATCTGGGGAAGTGTGACCTTCTTGGCCCGCAGCACACCTGCCAGCACCTCCCTCAAGATCTGCAACTTATCCGCCGGCAATCTGCACAACCCTAGCACCTCCCTCAAGATCTGCAACTTATCCACTGGCAATTTGTACAACACTTGCACTGTATCGATCTCCAAACCCAAAAAACTGAGGCAAGATGTTGGGCCCTCTGTCTTCATCTCCACCAACGGGACCCCAAAAGATTGAGCCATCCGCTGCATTGTCCGCAGGACATGCAAGCAATCCCCGGAGAAGCGCGAACCCACTCATAAGAAACCGTCCAGGTGATGTACCAAGGAGTTGCACTCGGACTCTATCCTCACCACCCATTTCAGAAAAGTACTGGATTTCTCAAAATAGGCGCAGGATATGGAGCATCCCATTGGCAAACACAGATTGACAAAACACTCCCCTTCAAACCAGCACCCATGGAGGTAGTGGCACTCCGGATGGACCGGAAGCAACCAAAAAGCTGCCTCAATATCCACCTTGGCCAACAGTGCACCCGGTCCCGCCTCCCTAACCACGTTCACCGCCCTATCGAACAACGTGTAGGAGACAGAGCAGAGCTTCCAATCAATGTCCGCATTAACTGAAAGACCCTTAAGGTAGGACAGGTTGAGTATCAGGCGAAACTTGGCCCTTTCCCTCTTTAGGACTACCTCCAGCGGTGAAACTCTTCGATTGGGCAATAGAATGGAGGCAAACAGCCCCGCCATACGTCCTAAACCCACCTCCCCCTTCAATTTGTCCCGTACCACATCTAGCCACCGACGGAAGGTTTTTTAAGGATACCACTGACTCCCGCGGAATAAATGGAATCC